ATGTGTTTGTGAGCTCCAAAGCAAAACGTTGCGTGGAGTATGCTCATTGTTCCGCTTAGCGCGAGAGCACGCCAGGCCCTTCGAAGACGTGCAATACGCTGAAGCGCTGGCCGAGCTTAAGATGGGCGCCGCTGCACTAGGGTTCCGCGCCCCCGAAGCGTGGGGCACGCACGTTTTCCGCCGCGGCTTTGCAGACGAAGCGTTGCGAGCCGGCGGGCCAACAGCCCTCTTCTTCAGTGGCGGCTAGCGTGGAGTGGCAGCGCTCGGCTATGCGAGCGCCAAGAGCCGCGGCGCGATGGCGGCCGCGGAGTGGTTAATCGACCACTCTGAGTCGAGCGACACGGCAGAGCCTGGACAGACGATCGTGTGCATTGGGCGCTGTGGGAGAAGTGTTGCACGATTTGCTTTGTCATTGTCTGCTGCCGCATGTCGCCGCCTCAGCGTTTCGGAGGTTTCTGGGGGCTTCCTGAGAACCTGGAACAGGCAGACGCGTTTGCAGGTGCGCCGCCTGGTGCATAGGGGTGTGTTGGACCGTCCCAGGATGCCCACCTGGCAGTGCGTCTACCGCGTTGCCCTTCGTCTCGCACGAGGGCACCAGCCGAACTTATGGTGACCGGCTGCCGTGGCGATTTTCATAATCCCTAAATCTCTGGTTTCTGGGGCAGGAAAATCGCGAGGAGCGGGCTCCTGGACCTTAACCTTTTCGGTTTATTCGCCTTCTGCCCACACTTGTGGGCGTGCGGCCTCTCCGCCTTCCTCCGCTGTGCCGCTGCCGCTTTGCTGCCGCCGATTTGCCACCTGCGCCGCTTTGCTGCCGCCGCCCAGGAGAACCAAGGGAAAACCGTGCCAAAGGCAAAAGGTCCTTGCGTACTAGGCGCCCGCGCCTACGCTGGGCCCCCCGAAAAGGAGCGGTGCCATGGGCAAAAGGTCCTTGTGTAATAGGCGCCCGCGCTTACGCTGGGCTCCCCGAAAGGGAGCGGGTCCCTGCCTGGACAAGGCAAACCCAAGGCAGCCGCAGTTCCTGGATAGGGGACGGGTCCCTGCCTGGACAAGGCAAACCAACGAGGCAAAGCTCGGCTCCCCGATAGGGAGCGGGCCCTGGACAAGGCAAACCCACAAATGCGGCCGCATTTCCTGGATAAGGAACGGCCCCCCTGCCTGGACATGGCAAGCCCGCGCGGCAAACGCTCGGCTCCCCGATAAGGAGCGGGTCCCTGCCTGGACAAGGCAAACCCAAGTCAACCGCAGTTCCTGGATAAGGAACGGGTCCCTGCCTGGATAAGGCAAACCAACGCGGCAGCCGCAGTCCCTGGACAAGGGACGGGGCCCTGCCTGGACAGGGCAGAAGCACGCGACTCGGCGCAAAACCCTCGACGGGGGGTTTGCCGACGGTGAGCCATAAGGCGAGCCAGCGTCCATAGGTCGCCGCTGCCAGCCTGGACAAGGTAACCGTGGCGACAGTGAACCAAACGATTGGTTTTGAGCCCGCCCTCCCGACCCTATTCCTGGTTCGGCTGGTGCTCTGCCCAGGTGGTCTTTGGGTGTGTGTTGGACCGTCCCAGGGTGCCCACCCGGCAGTGCGTCTGCCGCGTTGCCCTTCGTCTCGCACGAGGGCACCAGCCGAACTTATAGTAACCGGCTGCCGTGGCGATTTTCTTCTTGCACCGTCGCGCAGTTTTGGTGCCACTGCCTTCGGTTTCAATATTTGAGCCAGTGTGCGTCAGGCACGAATCGGACGCGGTACGAATTGAAAACGCTGGATAGTACAGGGACAATAATAGAAATCCTAAGTTGGAGCCAAAAAACACTCAGAAGTCCGTACGACTCCGTGCTCAAGCTCAAAGCTCACCCTCAACCCAGAAACATTTGCTAGATGGTGCGAAAAACATATAAACAAACAAGTCTTACATGGCAAATATTTGCTAACACGAGCTTTTGTAATAGATGAATGCAATTCAAAAGGAATCTGATTACAAAGAGAAAGAAACAAGAAAACCCGAAACCTGAAGATTGGGGTATGAGTGCCAGAGCCCGCGCATTTGCGCCGATATCTTCAGCCGTTTCGGATTTGGTTTCGGGCCATTCTAGCTCTTCTACGCGTGCTTCTTGGAGTTGTTCTTCCTCATAGCGAGGCCGTCCACAATTGTCGAACTTTGGAAACTAGAACCGACCCTGGGCCCAGTCCAAGCCGGCCCGAAGAACCCGTAACTTGCCCCAAAACTCCGTGCGCCTAATTGCGGAAGATGGATCCCGTCCGCACCGAGACGGGAATTTTGATCATATCGGTCCCGCCCCCTGATGTCGAGATATGGAGATATTAGGTCCCCCCGCTGCCTGCACCGATATCGACGCACCAGAATGTTAACAAATCGGATCTTCGCCGGGCCCCGCCCCCGATAACCAGATATCGAATCCACCCTGCTCCACCTGTCTTCTATATCGAAATATCAAATGCGTTCGCCTTCAAGCGCGTTTCTTTATGTTCGGCGATGACGGTCGTCATGAGGGGGGGCGGAAGGAGGGGGTACGACGTTACGCCCCCCTCGCCGTGTGGCTCCGGCACCACAGCCAGCCGCGCCCGCGCGCACGACGCGACGAGCGACGAGCGACGACGACGACGACTGTGACGCGAACAGCATGTAGGTGGCGATCTGCCCCACTCCGCCTGTGATCTATGAGGGGGGACTTGAAGGGACGGTGTATTGCAACATCGTTGATGCGCCTTGTGTTTACACCTTCTCCTCTTCCTTCTCCTATTGCTCCTGCGTCTCCGCTCAAGCTGTTGCTTCCAAACGCGCGCCGAAACTCTGCAAGAAACTCTGCCGCAAAATTAAGCGTAATCTAAAGGACACATGGGACGGTGGTACGCGAGAGCCGCCACTCCTCGAAGGCTCGTGAACCCAACCCGACCTTTCTCCGGCCTCCATCCTGCCCAACCGAGAGCCTCAGAGGGAAATAACACGAACACCTGGTTACCCTGTCCGAGGTCATCCCCTTCAAAGGAAATCGAACATCGCTGAAGTCTCCAACAGCATATGCAACACCTGCCTACGTTTCATTTGTCCTTCGAAAACCTTCCAAACTATGTACACTACGACAGCCGTCGAATTCGGGGATGGACAGACCTCCCTTTAGTAAAACGTGGTTTAGTGAAAACGACCTAGGCCCCGAACCTGGCGGGCGCAAGCCTGGAAAATAACGGCCGCGGCGCCCTCTCGAGAACCGAAAACGGACAATTCACTAATCGACGTGTCACTGTTGGGGGTTCTGTCCACCCCCGACGAAAACCTGCTGAGCCTTTGATCGCCTCTGGGCACCCGCTCGTCCCCCTCGAACGGGATCGAGAGCGTCTGGGTTGGCACGCTCCATTTTCCCTGCGCCCGCGCGCCGCTGGGTGGCTCTCGTGCTGGGCCGCCGAGGTGAGCGACGGAGATCAGAAAGGGGGGGACGACATGGAGGATGAGAGCAGGACGAGTCGGTGATCGAGGACAGGGAGGTGTCGGGTGCTTGTCTGAGGACGGGCATGTCCCCCTACAGGTGGAGATTGGACGAAGAGTTACAGATAGTCCAGCAAATGCTCAAGTGGCCGAAAATAGTCACAACATCGTTCCCATAATATCTTTTACTATTTTTGAACATTCCTCCTGTAGAGGGACGTGCCCGATTCAATAATTGTCGATGATTCTCGGAACGTGTTGGGGCCCACGAGTGCCTATCCACGGAGCCCGGCAAAATCGACGCAGGCAGCACCATATGGGGGCCGACACATGCTGCTTGCTGCAGGTGGGGCCGACCCTCAAGTCCGGCGTGTCCTCCTATGGGCGGATTTCGGACGAAAGATAAAGAAAAACGAATACTGCTCAACAAATAATAAAATCAAAACTCGTCCCAAAACTATTTTTTGAACTACTTTTGAATAGTCCCCCAGTAGAGGCACACAGTGGGCAAACACGCGTCCCGAGGACCATGGGGACTTCTTTTCTTGACCCCTGTTGGGCCAACGGAAGCCTCCGGGAGGCATCCTGGGCCTCTGCGGACTTCCGGTGGAGGAGGATCCCGCTGTCGATCCCGCCGGAAGAGGCCAGGATCGAACCAATACGGTTTACTCTTTTGTGTCCCGGGCTTCCGGAGACCCAGGCGGGTACTCCAGATTTCGTAATAAAAGGAGGGGGTCTGGACCCTCCAAGACAAGCCGTTTCAGACCTCCCCCGTGGGAGAACACTCCAAAACATCGTCCCCAGACCCCCCAGGCCCTCCAAGATAGCCTGGAAGAGACCCCCCCCGAAATGAGACCCCCCTCCCTTTCTTACGAAAATGCGAAATCTGGAGTAGGAACAGGAAGCGTGTCACCACTACCAGGGACTACCAGCGGGAGAGGCCAAGGGGGGTCCCCTTGGTGGTGTGGCCCTCCGCTCTCGCGCGAGGCGTCCCCTGTCCCCAGCTCGGGGAAGCTTTGTGCACCTCCTCGCTGGAGGTGCTTCGTCTTGTGGTGGGTGGTGTGGCTTCTCCTTCCCTCGACGAAGGGGCTCAGACTGACTTCTGAGGACATCCAAACGGCGGGGCGGGGAGGGGGCGGGATGGCGTGGAGCACGGCGAAAACAGTTAGCATCGGATCGGGAACTCACATCGGATCGAAACGGAGGATGCCAAATACCCTAAATCCCAAATTGCTGCCATCTCACGGGGAGGCATTTTTGACTTCCGCAGTCTTCCGCCGAAGCGGCCCCGTATTACTTTTGCCGCCGGCCGCAGGCATTCCGCCGAGGAAGAAGTGACAACTTCACGATCCCTCGAAGACCGCCCTTTCTGGAACGCGTCAAAGGTGCGTCGGATGGGCAGTATCGGCACGGAATCGAAATCGAATCGAATCGGCCGCACCAGGACGCACAACAGAGTTGTGCAAGCATCGGAGCATCGGGCTGCATCGGACCGTCCGAATACGTTGATCGAATCGTGTCGGGCCGACCAGAATCGATGTCGAAACGGATCGAGCGGGTCGCATCGAAGTGGGCCCTGGAACGTAAGGGGGAAGCGTCAAGCGCCGCCCTCCTGCCCGCGCTCGAGCGTGCGCCTGTCGTTCTCGCGCGCGAGCTGCGCCAGCTCCCTCGCCTCCTCCTGCGCGTCCTTGGGCAGGGCCTTGAAGATGCTCTGGAGATCCCTGTTGGCCTTGGCGTAGACGTCGGCGATCCGTGTCAGCTGCTGAGTATCGATGATCCTCAGAACGTGTGCTGGCCCCAACGTTCGGGTCGGGCGAAAGGGGGGGGTAGCAAAGGGGGGGTTTGAGAATCAGCTCGCGTAGCTGATTTTCCAGGCGCCTCCCGGCGCCGGAGGCGGCCATGTATCGAGGAATGGGCCCCTCGGTGAGGCCGAAACCAGCTGCATGCAGCAAATTTCGTAACCCCCCCTTTCCCAATCCCCCCCTTTCGCCTGGCCCGAAACGTGCGCTGGCCCATCGAAGCCCTCCAGTACGACGCACGCGGCGTAACGATGGCCGTCACAGGCCGAACGGGGTTACACGCACATTGGGCTAACACACGTCCTCAGGGTCATCGAGAGGAGCGAGAGCACCGGGCCCAGCGGCCGCGTCCAGAGCCCGGACCTCGTCGAACCTCTCGACGAAGTCGAGCGCGTAGCTCTGCACGGCGAAAACCTTGTCCTGCGGCGGGGACAGCACGCGACCACGACGACGTCGAGGACACACATCCAGGGTTCTGTTGCTCCCATCGTACTTGAGAGATAATTCCGAGCACCCAAAAAAGTGTCGAAACAATGTCGAGCGAATATCGCCTCCCAGGGCCCGACGCGTGAAAACCCTCCGGCTTCGGTACTTCTTGGTGTTCGAAATTATTTCTGGTGGTCAAGGCTAAATTGCAACATCAGAAGTCCAGGGGGGAGGTCCTGCGCACGCCACCCGTCGTCGGAGCACCAAAGGCCAGCTTGGTGCTGGTTGTGGTCCACGTGGCGTCCCAGGACGGCCACGTCCCCCACCACAACCAGAGTCCGACCAGCCACAACTGGGGGAACTGTGGTCCTTCCCCCCTGGGGGAACCCATCGCATCGACGCTCTCTCGAGAGGGGTGCCGAAATCGATGGGTCCCCCGGGGGGGTTCCTCATGGGGGGTAAGGACCACAGCACCCCCTGCTGTGGCTGGCCTGAGATTGCTCATGTCGAGGTCGGTGGGTTCTGCCCAGACAAGGCCCCCCCGAACGCTCCACCCAGCTGGTATTGTGGCGCTTCTCCCCGTCGCTCGGACGTCCATTCCCTGTGTTTTTTTTGTCGGTTTCGTGCGTGGCTTTTTCGCAGGATGATCCAGAATGCTCCTTAATAATCCCCGCCGAGAAAAAGTGCACACGTCCGAGCGATACCAAGGCTTTGCTGTGCCCTCGGACCTGCTTCAGCCCGTACAGGATCTCGCCGAACTGCCTCTCGATCTGGGAGTTCTTCAGCATGACCTCGCGGCGCGGGGCCCGCCCGCCCCCCCGGGAGGGCGAGGCCGCAGGCTGCCCCCCTCCGGAACCGAGACACCTAAGATCCCTCCCCAGCAGGAACCCCTTCCCCTCCTGTTGGCGGCGCGCACAAAGGGGGTGGAGGGAGGGGGGAGGGCTTCTGAGAAGGAGGCCACTTCTTAGAAGGCGCCGATCCCCCTCTGCGCGCGGCTGATCCTGTCCAGGATCCCCTTCCGGCAGGACCCCTCTCCTCCGTGGCGATCCTCTCCACAGCGGCTCAGACCAGGGCCCCGGGCCCTCCTGGGGTCCGTCCTGGCCGCTGTCCTGAGCTGCGGCCAGCCGCGGCGACAAGCCGCAAGCCGCCCGAGCGAGTCGATGCTCGGTCCGGGGCCGGGCGCGACGGGGTCAAGTCTCAAGCACCACCAGTGGTGCCCATCGCGAGGAACTCACGAAGGCGTCCTCGAGTGTAGTAGATCAAAGTATGGTCTGAATGTGGCTCAGGAGGATCGACTTGGAACTGGGCGCGCCCATGTTGGCGCAGACGGGCATCCCGTCTACGGCTGGTCGCCCCCGTGGCGACGAGATCGGGGAACAAAACATGGCATAGAAATAAACGTGCAGAGATCCGCACGGATCTCTTGTCAGCGCTAGAGCCTCCAGGAGGCGCCTCCGGCGCCTCTCCTTGAAGAAATCAGCGCGCGAACCTCCGAACGCTCCGGTTTCTGCCATCCTGTGCCCCATCGCGAGTTTGTGCTCGTGTTCACAGACGCCTCCGAGACGTCGACGACGGCCCCTCTCCGTGGCGAGGGCCTGGCAGCTCGACGTCAGCTGGCCCTGGCGGATCTGCGAGTCCGCGCCCTCGCCCTGGGCGGCGATCCCCCGCAGCGTCTGCTCCTGGGCGGGTGGCCGCGGGCAGAGCGGGACCGGGGAGGCGCAGGGCGCGGGGGTCACGACACGCTCCTCCTCCTCCTCCTCCTCCTCCTCCTTTTTTCCCCTTCTCCTCCTTTTCCTCCTCCTCCTCCTTTTTTTCCCGTTCTCCTCCTCCTCCTCCTACTCCTCCTCCTCCTCCTCCTCCCCCTCCTTCTCCTCCAGACGGGAGACGGACAGAACCAAACCACGGGCGGAGCTGCAATCACCTCGATCCTCTTGCTGGAGGGCGCGCAGCTACCCCAGGCACGCCCAACGAGGCCAGAGCAGCGATAGACGCCAAGGCCAGGCCGCGGCTTGAGGACTCAGAGGCCCTCTACCAGGCAATCAGTTGACTGGGGCGAACTTTCGGCAGCTGTTCGGGAGCTTAGGTTTTGGAGGCCTGCACATTGGCATCAACACCAACCTCCACGGGGGGGAGATGATCCTAGATTCTGGTGCTGGTGGCAACTTCCCGGTCACTTGGGAGGCTCGAGAATTACCACCATCACCGAGATCGGGACCATTTTCCCTCTGCGGGGGCAGTCCGCTGATGCTGGTGTTGGCGCACACCTGTAGGCCTCCGATATAGGAGATTGGAAGCTGTTTTCCTGTAGCCTCAGGCGACTTTGCTTGCATGGCATCCCCTCCCCTTCCGCCGCCTTTTTCAACAGCGCTGGGCCGAAACGGCGTGCAAATGAGTCCCGACTTGCCTTTCGGGCATCACCACGCTCTCCCCCCCCCCCCTCCCTCTATGCAAATGACCTTGCCAGAATCTACGGGGCAACTGCCACGTAGGGGGGTGAACCGCGAGCAACAAATACATCGGCATCTACGCCCTCACTGTCTGGATTCGCGAGCGCGATCCCGCGGGTACGCGGTCGCACTGGTACATTCTGCGCGGGGGCATCCGGGGAAACGCGCTCCGCATCCGCGGCGTCGCTGCCCGGGGGCCCGGCCGCGCGAGGCCGCGAACACGGAGATGTCTTTCTCCCACTAGATTCCGAAGCGATCAGGCGCTGCTTGCCTGAAGGGAAGCACTCGAGGGCCGCCTTCGCTCGGACGTCCATTCCGCTTGCACTGTTTCGGTCTCGTGTTTTCGTTTGCTTTGTCCTGGCGACCCAGGATGCTCCTCGATGGTCCTCGCCGAGGACACAAGCACACGTCCGAGCGATGCCGAGGAGGATTGGGGGGGTGCAGAGGGGCGCGCCCTTCGTGCACCTGGGGGGCCCCATGGGAGGAGGAGGAGGACGAGGAGGAGGAGGAGGAGGAGGAGGAGGAGGAAGAGGAGGAGGAGGAGGAGGAGGAGCAGGAGGAGGAGGAGCAGGAGGAGGAGGGAGATGTAGGATGGGTCGGGGAAGGATAGGAAGAGGAGGAGGAAGGAGCAGGATGAGGAGGAGGAGGAGAGGATGATGAGGGGGAGGGAAGGAAGATGAGGAGGAGATGAGGCGGGGAGGGAGGAGGAGGCGGAGTGGGAGGAGGAGGCATATAGGAGGGGGAGGAAGAGGGTAAAGACCCTGCAAGACCCGCTCCCCCGGATCTTGACAACCGACCCCATCACCCCCTCCCCTTCCTCCCCCCACCAAATCCCGTGTATAGCTCGCACACCCCATTGCACCCGCAATCCCCTCCTCATCGTCCTCCCCTCTCCCCCACGCACCTCCCCCTCTTCCTCCTCCTCCTCCTCCTCCTCCTTCTCCTCCTTCTCCTCCTCCACCTCCTCCCCCCTCCTCCTCCCTTTCGTCGTCGTCGTCCCTCCTCCTCCTCCTCGCTCTTCCCTTCTATATCACCCCCCCTCCCCCTCCCTCTCCCTCCACCTCCCTCTCCCCCTCCCCCTCCCCTCTTCGCCCCTTCGCCAGTGAACTCGCACCCCCCCCAGTGCGACACGTCCGAATCGGTCTCGGTGTCGGCCCCCCTCGTGCGTGCGAGGCGAAGCAGCGCGAGTTCCTGCACTAGCAGCGCGAGTTCGCGCAGGGCCATGCAAGATGACAACCACGAGAAACAAGCACATGGGGGGCGATCACAAAAGAAAGTCCTGGGAGCGACTTCCAAGAGGACGATCAAGCAATCTCAATGACGACGATGACGCCCGCGAACAGACCTCAAGTCACATTACATAATCATCGTTCAGGGCACAGCTGGGTGACGCACCCCAACGCATGCACCCAACGCATGACCCTTGAGCGTCCCCGCGGGCCCAATAATCACGAATGCTGCCAAGGATGGAAAGGAAAGATATGGATGCATCCGCTTCCTCCTCCTCCTCCTCCTCCTCCTCCTCCTCCTCCTCCTCCTCCTCCTCCTCCTCCTCCTCCTCTCCCAGTGAGACCTCCCCCTTCCCCCGTCTCCCAGAGGACCGTCGGCCCTCCTCCCTTTGAACCACTCGCCTATCCTACTTCCCCCTCCGTTCCCCCTCCTCCCTCACACCGCTCCAGCACCTGCTCCTCCTCCTCCTCCTCCTCCTCCTCCTCCCCCTCCTCCTCCTCCTCCTCCTCCTCCTCAGGTGTTCTCCTGGGAACAGGGATCCCCAAAGCTGAAGAACACAAACGAAAATGAGTTGCGCGCGGACTTCTTGAGCCCGTGCCAGGCCCCCCTAACCTCACCCCTCTCCCCTTGCGCGGAGAATGCGCCTTGGGAGGCAGGCGCTGGAGGCAGGGATCATAGCGATTTCTGATTTTATGAATTTGTTCTCGTCCTGGCTTTGTCGTATTGGTACTGGGCTCCCCTCCCCACACCTGTCGGGAGCCCGCAGAGGGGAGGTTTGCCCCGGGGAGGGGGGGGAAGGGAAGTTCGATCCGTTTTTGCACCGAATCGCACAGAACCGATGCCCCCCCAGCCGCTGGCAGCTTCCAGGCATGCGGGGGGCACCTGTTTGCGGCAATTCGGTGCACCAAAGGATTGAACTTATGCCCCCCCTCAGGGTCACCGCCCTTTTTGGTGGATCTGGCGGCTCTGGAAGATGTCTCATGCGCCGGAACGCTCTGGAACGGAGTGATCCTCGTGCTGGCCCCGACCCAACAAATCCGCATAGATCTCCGAAAAGGGATGCAGCGGTTGCGTTCGTCAGAAAGGGCATGGGCTCAAGGGAAGCCACCTCCTGGCCTGGCCATCGCTCGGACGTCCATTTCCTGTGTTTCTTTCGGTTTGGTGCGTTTTTTTTTTTTTTTTTTTTTTTTTTTTTGTTTTCCGCGAAATTATCAAGGATGCTCCTCGATGGTCCTCGCCGAAGGAAAAGTGCACACGCCCGAGCGATGCCAAGCCTCGTTCCTGTTATCGGCGGTCACTGTACGAGGTGCGGGGCGCGCGGTCCTCATCAGTGTGCTTCAGCAATTTATCCGAACTTCTCGTCCTCATCTATGCCCCCTTCTTTTGCTGTTTGCCCATGGTTCGGAAGAAGCGGGAAGAAGCGGGCAGAAGCATGCAATAAGAGGGCGTTGAAAGTATATTCGGCTTCCGCCCGCCCCCTGGACAAGAAGAATCAAGGACAACCAGCCGATCATTGAACTCGGAAGGCGTCTAAACTATTTTGGATTCTGGGGAACCAGAAGTACCTACGTTCACCTAGCGATGTGCATGCTCGTATGGCAGTGTGACAGACCACTGATAAACTGACGCCCAAGTGAAAAGCACCAACGCCGCATCCTGAGGATCTTGGGGCGGTCTGGCCTTTAAGGACATTACCTCCCCCTGATGGGAAACGTTATGGGGGGACCAGCTCGGAGAATGGGATGGTGGTGGGAAACATCGAGCTGGAATCGGCGAACATTAGAGATATAACGGCCAGGAAGGCCTTTGATAGCAAAACCGCACGGTCCTGCGCGGGGTGGGCCATCGGGCCCATGTCGGCCATGCATGGGCGATTGGGCGCCGATGCATCCCCCCCTGCACCCAGCCCATGCCTATCCCCCCTACCGCTGCCCCTGCCCTCCTCCTGCTCCTCCGTGCGAGGAGGAGTCGGTCGACAGCCTCGTGAAGAGGCTGGTGGGCGAACTGGCGGCTGCGGAGGGGAAGCTCCAGCTCTTGCACGACCAGGTCGCGGCGCTGTTCGGTGAGCCCGATGTGGGCGCGCGCTTGGCGGCTCGCGCCCCCGCGCTGGCGGGGCGGACGCCGCGCGACCTCGACCCGACCGGCCACGCGCGAATAGGTCGCCCCGCACGCGCACGCAGTCGGCCTCGACGTCAGCACTGGAGCTCTAGTTTTTATTATTCCACATAACGCGCGTTATGTGGCTGGGTGGGTGGGTGGGGTCGCTGGCACATAACATAACACAGCCGCGCCCGGCCGCTCGAATGGCTGTATGCACACATTCTGATGCAGCAGCCTATGCGCGCACCACATCGCGCGTGTACACCACAGTGCATGGCGCATGGCAGTGATCACGTAAACCACAGAAACTGCGTATACGACTGTAAACGCGCCATACCACAAAGTTTTTTTCACACCCTTTGCTGCGCCCACAGCAGTACGTTCCGCGCGCACAACGCAGTCGCGCCTGGCCGCTCGAATGCTGATTGTGCTGGAAGGACTGCCCTTTGTTGCTATTGGTCATAGCACTCATGCAACGAAAGGACCTAGCAGCTGCGAGTGCTACACAGCGCCGCAATGCCCACGAAC